TGTTAAATGGATGGGTTGTTGGAAAGAGGATGGCTGATAGAAATGTATGGATAATTGTCTGACATCGTAGAGCAAAGGGTAGGAAGATGTTATACTATAGTAAGCAAATTACTTGGCCTAGATACATTAAAATTTAGTTTCTTTGTTTTATAGTATAATAACTTATAATGGAATTCCTAACTTAAATTTAATAAACGAAGATTGAACGAAGGTGACGTAATTTTGAACCAGTGACCATGAGATGTTTCAAGCTTCATCTCAAGCTTGTATGAACTTTGAGTAATATTAAATTTCCCAAATTCACAAAGGCTTATTGCAAGGGATTTATTGGTAGATGTAGTAGGTATAATGTATACGATTAATAAAATTGGAGTGTATTATAACGAAAGAAGTGCTATTGAAATTTTTGTCTGTCTGTTTGCAATCTTATTTTAGTTACGGGTAATCACAAAAACAGCTGCACCGATTTTAAGGGAACTTTTACTCAAAGATAGCCTTTGTGTGTGAGAGTAACTTAATCTATTTAATTCCGCGCCAACGGATAATCGTAAATCACTGAACATATTTATAATTGTTTTAATAACTGCTTTGTGTATTTGTTTTATTCTATTAGGCTTCTGTTAATAAAATTTAAGTTTTCATTCAAAACAGCATATAACCTTTATTAGCATACTGCGTGGAAAATCGATCAATCCAGAAATTTGTAAGGCCAGACATCGAATATACGGCGATCACAGAGTAGCGCTTACGTTGCTGACTGTCCTTCGCATTTGCTTCGTAACTACTGACGTAATAGTACCAATTATACTGTAATTTGGATGTGTGTATACGAATTAATACACCGTTGATTAATGTATACAAATATTGTTAATTAATGTGTAAATATAGGTAATAATAAATTAACTTCAAACCATTATTTTGTTGTATTTTTTTGTATACTATGGTTTCAATGTTCGGTGTTACAAAAATTATTTTAGGCTGAATAAAAATTTGCAACCGTTTTTTGTAGAAAAATTCCAAATTACGTTATCTAGCACATCTTGTGATATAGATGTGTTCAGATGTGCATCATGTAATTAAATCATCTTTCTATTATAAATGCGAATGTTTGTCTGTTTGTTAAAATGTATCTCCGGAACGGTTGTATGAATCTCGCTGAAATTTGGCGTAGGTTTACAAGATAACGTGGAAGAACACATAGGCTAAGCATTATGTTTTTTTATTCCACGTGAATGGAGTCGCGAGCGACAGCCTGTATTTAAATATCTCTTCAGAGTCTTTTATCATATAACTAAATATTCAAATAAATAAAGCTAAGTCTGTCCCAATATTGTGATAAGGGAAACGGTACATAAATATCTTTTTTCGGTGGAGCAATGTCAAAATAGTCTAAGATAAAAGTTATGAATAGCCCGCCGGGGGTAATTTGGGTTGTTTTGTGTTTTGTCCGCATCAGCAAAGTGATACAGTTAGCCCATTTACTTCAGCCACCGTTAAGTAGACATTGATAAATCCACTTCTGATAAGCTTAATTTCTACACGCAAACTAAATAAAAAGAAAATACAGATATATTTAGGGCTAGAGATATTAAGCGCCGATAGTAAACTGCGGTCCGTGATGATGGAACCTAAAGTGTGCACTTTTTTCAGAAGAGAATTTTTCATGCATACTCCGCATCTTGGAGGATCACGATAGTTATGTGGAATTCTCTCCCCGAAAGGTAGCATACCCACTAAAGCACTCTGTTCCTCCTACTCATGGTGACTGCCTTAAGCAGTCCGTGTATGCCTTTAGTGTTTAAAACTAGTTTAACCTATTAGATAATTTTAACTTTAATATTCTATTTATAAGAATAATTATTAGCCTATGTGTTCTTCCAGACTATGTTCTATATGTATGCCAAATTTCATCAAGATCTGTTCAGCCGTTGTAGTCACCTTCAAACATCCATCCATACATACATTCGCAATTATACTATTAGTATGATTGTGTACGCATGTAACGTAAATTTCCTATTGTATCCATATTTTTGATACATTGGATATTTCTTTCAATGTATCCATACGTGGGTTATTATAAATAATTTCTAACATCATCATCATCAGCTCACTATACGTCCCCACTGAGGGGCTCGGAGCGTACCATAACTTAAAGGTGACTAGGCCATAGTCAACCACGCTGACCAAGTGCGGGTTGGTTGACTTCACACATATCACTGAATTTCTTCTCAGATATGTGCAGGTTGTATCAAGATGTTTTCCTTCACCGTAAGAACGTAGGATATATGTACGTATGTAAATCGGAAATTGAAAAGCACATTGGTATATAGCGGGATTCGAACCCAGGACCTGCAGATTGCAAGTCAAGTGCTTGACCCCTAAGCCACCGACGTTCTCGATTTCTAACATACTGAACTAGAATCTTGACCCATCAGGTCTCAAGAAAGTCTTGAATTATGATTGTTGTTATTATAAACAATGGAAAACTCCTTCGCCATTGTATTCAGATGGCATGAAAATTCCATTGTTTTTTTGAAAATTATGAACAAAACAATTTTCATAAAAGAGCCCAGTAATTATAGTGCCGTACCTAAATTACTTTCCAAAGCATAATCGTTCTCCTTTTGTTTTTCCCCCAGACGTTCTTAAATTAATTATTTAGTATGAAGAAATATGAAAATTATTTCTTTACTTATTTAATTAAATAAAGATGTAGGTCAACATAAATTGGTTTAATAAAACTGTGTTTTATTCTCGTGGCTTCACAATTATTGTTAAATAATAAGAAATATTTTGAAACATAATTTAAAACAAACGAGTTCTCTTTCTATCGTAATTTTACTAATATTATTATATAAATGCGAATGTTTGGATAGATGGATATTTGTTACGAGGTATCCCAGAACGGCTCAACGAATCTTGACGAAATTTGCCATAGAACATAGTCTGTAAGAACACATAGGCTATTTCTTAAGTTTTTTTTTATTTCGCGCGAACGAACTCGCTGGCAACAGCTAGTTTTAAAATATATTTAATTTTTCATTAAGAAATAATCTAGGAGATTGTAATTTAATATAATTAAATAGTAATTCATTGTATAAATAAGCAGACACATTCTCATTTACCGTGAGTTTCTGAGACTGAAATCTCCGTTTAAAACATATAGTTATGTATCTCTGTTTATTAAAGACAGGATGTCGCCCGCGACTCCGTCCGCGCGGTATAAAAAAAACTATTGGTCGCAGCGTAATGTTATATAACCTAAAGTCTTCCTCTATAAATGGACTATCCAATAAAAAAAGAATTTTTCAAATTCGGATCAGTAGTTTCTGAGAATAGCGAGATTAGATTATTATAGTATTAGTATAGATCAGTGGTTCCCAAACTTATTTTGTCTACTGCCCACTTTGAGAATAAATATTTTTTTAGCGCCCCCCATATTTTCACATATTTAAAAACCACTATAACTTCAAATTAAATTAATTAATTATTGTGACCTATATATTTATATTAACGGAGAATTCTAAACGTAACTTTTACTATAACCCGCAACTTGAGACCTGCAGCGCCCACAAGTGGGCGTTATCGCCCATTTTGGGAAAGACTGGTATAGATATTGACAAGGATGATGTGTTATACAGAGATCATGGTCTCGGAAACGAACGCTTAGTAATCATTCAACAGTTAACATCTATAATTTACTTAATAATAAGACATTAATATTTTAAATTAAGAAATACGAAGAACATTTTGCATTTAAAATGTCTCACAAGAAACTAAACATCTTTTCCCAGCAATCGAACGGAAACCGAGTTCCATCAGAGATTGGATTTAGAACCGCCGCCGCTCTTCTCCTACTGGAAGGAAATCAACTAGAAATAGTCCTCAGTAAACTCGACGGGAAAGGTAATTTATTGAATATTTTAACTCCTTACCGATTTCCTATTTCTAAGGTATAATTTCTTACTAGAAATTATTATTTCGAATTCTTGTAGTAAGAAAATATTCAATACTTTTATGCATAGACTTAAATAGTTTTTTTTATTTATTTATTTAACAATACAATTTTGAATACAAATAAACATATATTTAACGCTAAATAAACCTCATTGGTTTGGTACAAGCGTTAAGGTCTTTCGGACAAAAATATTTTGAGCTTGCACTTTATGTTTTTTCGTGAAAATATTTCGAAATGTTTCGAAGGCGTCGAAGCCTTACTAATAATATGATGCGAATGTTTAGATGGATGGATGTTTGTTAGATGATATCTCGAGAACAACTATATGAATCTCACTGAAAGACATATAGAACATAGTCTGGAAGAACACGTAGTCTACTAAGTTTTTTTAATAGTGCGAACGGAGTCGCGGACGCCAGCTATGTATCTTATATCTTTACAAAAAACACTTAAAACATTCACATTTTTTTTTGTATTAGGAACTTCAATATAAAATATTAAAGGGAAAAATGTGTTGCTTGTTAAAACGTACATAGTAGAATCTACGTAATCAGCAACATAATACGAGGTTAAGGCATAAAAGACTTTTGCCTTCACACATTTTGTTCATTTATAAGTCAAACACATTCATAAAGATTACGAAAGTCGAGAAGGATTAGTATGGCGTCGATAAAGCGTTCCCTTCAGCTTTAAGATCGCTTAGGACTTATCAGAAAAGAAAGGAAGGGGTACGTATATTTAACATTGTAAGAAATACTCCAAATCTTCTTGACTAATAGCTTCTCTTTTTTTTATATTTTTAATCCTTTTTCATAACAAGAACATAATAAAAGATTCTTTTTACAAATTTACTTTCCCTTTTAATTTATTATTTCGTGTAGTAGACGGGGCGAAGCGGGGATTTTTGGATTTAATCGAGCGTGGTAGTTAAACTTAAGGAAGGACAGTTACTTCCAATCGATTACTCCTCCATATCACGCTTTTAGGGTAGTCCAAATACTAAGTAAAAAAATCTAATTTTAAAACGGCTAAACACTCGCGTATATTCGTCCAGTGGCGGCACCGACTAGTTTCGAGCCCATCGGGGCCCTTCATGAAGGGCCCGAAACTAGTCGGTGCCGCCACCGGACGAATATACGTGAGTGTTTAGCCGTTTCTATATACATAAGTCTATTATAATGTCTCACGAATATTTGAATAATTTAATAAAAAAAAACTGGTATAAATACTAAAGTGCGCTAGATTGGGCGATACATTTGTGGTTATAGTACTCTATTGAATGCAAGATCCTCTCTTATGTTTAACTGCGACGCTCGAGTAAATCCAAAAATCCGCGCTTCGCCTACACCACTGTTGTGTTAATACTCTCCTAACAATAATAAAGTTGTGATAATTCTGACGTTTAAAAATGTAAAACATAATGGACCCGTCAAGGATTACATTCGCCGGCACTCTATTCCATTTTAATTACGGTTAAAAGAGCTTATAAAAATATAATCCGGTAAGCCTAAGTACCGTCGTTTATTAGCTGATAGTAGGCACTTCGTTTAATTCTTGTTTTGTTAAATTAAGCTTAGTTGTTTGTTCAATGTTTGTTACCTGTTAACTGTCGAACATTTGAATGGATCTGAATGAAATTATGTATGGAGATAGATTACAGTCTAGAATAAGGCTACAATTAACGATTGAGCTGTTTGAGCGACCGATATTTCGACACACTTGCATGCGCCATCACGGGTTGACAGATGTAGTGCTGTAGTAAAAAAAATTAAAGATAGCCGTCTTACGAACGTTATAATAGTAAAAACCAGGAAAGTTTAATGTTATGTATGGTATATAGGCTACAATGAGTTCTCTATAACCTTCAAAACTGTTCGGTTTACATGGAAATCCGTTTTATTTTCATATACTACTTGCAACTGATTGCTAATAGAGTAGAAATGGACTGTTTTTTCTTGCCTACGTGGACATCATCAACATCATCAGCTCACTAACGTCCCCACCGAGGGGCTCAGAGCCTACCATAAGTTAAGGGTGATTAGGCCATAGTCAACCACGCTGGCCAAGTGCGTGTTAGTTGACTTCACACATATCTTTGAATTTCTTAGATATGTGCTGGTTGCATCACGATGTTTTTCTTCACCGTAGGAACGCCGGATAAATGTACATATGTCAATCAGAAATAGAAAAACATATTGGTATATGGCGGGATTCGAACCCAGGACCTGCAGATTGCAAGTCAAGTGCTTGACCCCTGAGCCACCGACGCTCTTCAGCCACCTCAGAGACTTCCATACTCTAACATTTTTATATGTTTTATTTTATAACTTAACTCTTAAATTAAAAGTTGCGTAAAGTGTATGCTTGTATTTTAATATATATTTCTGTAGGACATTTTAAAGCAACATTCTAGCCTTAAATGTAAAGAATAATTACGAAATAACAGTGGATATAAAGAAGCAAGCAACAATGCAGCGTAAATAAAAACTCTGACTGTACAAGGTGTAAAACAAAACCTCTTTTAACGTATTAAATTTAAGAGAAGACTGCATTATATTAACGAGCGTTTAAAAAACGCACGTTAAAAAAGAATAAGATTTAAATTCTATAAATATTAGAGGAAATACTTGTCTATTTTAAATCTACTTATGATAGAATATAATCACTTTGTTTGAAGCAATTGTGTCGAAATCATTAATTTAGCGTTACGTAAAAAAAAATCTTCACAGTCAGAAATGTCAAAATGCAATCTCTATATGGAAGATATGCCAATGAATTCTATTTAAGTGTAGATCTGTTCAGCATGAGACTTATTATAGTACATGATTTGATTCAAGTTTTTTAGACTTACACTAAAACTTTTATTATAAGAGTAGGGGGCAAACGAACGGCTGAAACACCGAGGTGATCAACGAAACCCATGGACTTCTGCAACACCAGAGGAACTGCATATGCTTTGCCGGCCTATAAGGAAATGGTATGCTCGCTTCTTGAAGGTCCCTAAGTCGTATTGGTTTAGAAATACCTTATTACACTTGGTATGATTTAAAAAAACGCCGCGTTCTAACCGCCCGTTTGTTCGTCCGGTAGTGTTGTAAAGTTAATTGGGCCGTCCCGTGAAATAACCGCCGACATTTTCCTCTTCTGAAATCGCACCTGCTGTAATCCTCGCCCATTTTTAAGCTAACAACGCAAAATCTGCGAACCTTGACAAAAGTAAATTAACACAAACCCAAGCGAAAAATAAATTAAGGGCTCGCCTTGAACGAGATAGATTGTTTGAGATGAGAAATTGAACAAAATGTTTTGAGATAAATTGTTAAAATATTTTTTATAATCTGACTATTTTCCCCCCAATTTTTCAACCATACAATCTTACTAATATTATAAACTAGCTGTCGCCGTCCACGTGGGTATATAAAAACTTAATTAGTGTAGCCTATGTGTTCTTTCAGACTATGTTCTATATGTATGCCCAATTTAATTGAAATCCGTTCTAGAGATATCTTCAAACACCCATCCATCCACATCACATCCCTCTAAACATTCGCATTTATAATATTAAATAAAAAGCAGCTCTTCAAGGCATAAATTCGAAAAAAATAAATAATAAAATAGTATAATATGTCTATGTCCGTCTCCTGGCTCTAAGCTACCTCCTCACCAATTTTCAACCATATCAGTAAATCCGTTATTCAGTTATAAATAGTGTACCTAACACGACTTTCTTTTATATATATATAGTCTGGAAGAACACACAGGCTACTATTTTTTTTTTATTTATGCGAGGTCGGAGTCGCTGGCGATAGCTTGTAAATAATACAATAAACTTAATCAAACACATAATTTTGTAATCGACTGAACAAATAAAAAAAACCATACTAAAAAAACAATTTATTAATTATAAATGTATTTTATCACACACATGTTAATAATTATTAATATCTTAAAATTTAATTAAGTACCAAATTTTCATTATTTGTACCGTATTAAGATCGATAGCAAGAGCTAATATGGCTTGACCTTGACTAATAACCACTTCTCAAGTAGTTAAATTTATAAGATTTTTTTTGAACTAATTTATTAAAGTTACAGATGTATTGCGTACAAATTTTAGTTTGGCCTGGACTACGTAGTACGCTTTAACGTTATTCTAAATAGAGCCTAACTAAAATTAACTTAAAGCATATAATTAGAAAAAAAAGATTGTCAATTTGTTGTTAGGAATGATTTTAAAGCATAATTAAGTAATTTAAATATCCCCTTAATGCAGATATCTCTAATTAAATCTACACTAAAGATACTTAGACTTAATAAACGAGAGTTAAGATTCTTTATAGTTGACATAGCACCAATAAAATTACATTTTTATAAACACTTAGGAAGCTTGTGGTAATAATAAACGACGTGCGAAAGACGGTGTTATTTCTGGAGCAGTCGGAGCTGGCATATCTTGAGGTCGTAGGAGATGTTCACTAAGGAATTGCTTAGTGAGCACTTCTTTGTTCCCTTTTACTTGTAATAAGCCACTTTTACTGACTATTGCTAGGAGTAATACGCTGAACACGCTGAATGACACCAACTGGAATTAAAAAATAATAAACAATTTTCAGAGATTAGTAAGAATAATTTGGAGCGAACGATGCGCTTTCGTTACAAAGTCAAGTGTCAGAATGATAAGTGAGGGGACATAAACGTCGACATTTTAGTAAGGCTAGTGTTGCGCCCGTACACCGGCAGTGTCGGGTTTTCTTCCTAACACAATATACTTATTAGCATTGATTATATCCTTGTTAATATCTAGATTATCATACTTCGATAATTGTAATTAAATTCTATCGAGACGGGAGTTTTCGCACTTGTACAAAACATTACGTCTCAGCTAATTAAAAACATGAATAGCAGTGTTTTAAAAAAAAAAACAATGTTATCAAAATTCCCGCTTTTTTACTGTTTCGGTAATAGTAACTCATGAAGAGTCACTTATCTTTAATCTTTGTTATTTTTATTTCTCAAATATATTATCACACTTTAAGCAAAAATTAGAATCGCTTAAAAAATAAAAAGTTTAAGGTAAACCTTTTACCCTTTAGCCATACCTTTTAGGAAGTTATTTTTAATCTGTTTAGAATATTAGAAATAAAAAGTAAAGCCTTAGTTTGGTTTATGAAATAATCTGCCGAAATTTTATATGAATAAAGCGCATTGTGCGCGTAATTTTAGTAAAATGTACCAAATATAATTGTTACAGTTTAATAAATTGTATAGATAAACAAACAATAACAAATGGCTTAATTTCATAACAATAGTTTATATCAAATCATTTCCTAACTACGTAAAAAGTGTTACAAGTATCAATCAAGGAGAACATGTTATAATATTATTCGTATCACATCAACAGCACGTATTGTTCTTATCTACGTTTGTCAGAGCCAAAAATTATGTTCACAATCAAAAACACAAATAACTTCTAACCTACAATAAAATCAATATAATCTGATATAAAAGTTATTGATAATATAATCATACATACCGCTGATACGCCAAATGTAGCAATTACTTCAAATGATAGTAACATTTTTTACAACACAAGAATTATAACACAAAAAACGTAAATAATGACCACTCTTTCATCGAAACACGACTGTCGCGAATGTGTTGCTGTGTTGTCCCTTTCTGCGGACATAATCTATCTCGCTCGCACAGTTGAAACACTGATTCAGATTATAAACGTGACACTAAAGTACCACAACTTACTACGCAGGCAAAGATAACTGCAAAAGTATTTGTTAACCAACTGATTCCCCCACCATAGTTGTGTAGAATTCAATAATATTTATACCTAAACGTTTATTTTTATTATTAGATATTCGTTATAAAAATATTTCTGCAAATTCATCTGCAATTCGTCACTACATTTGTTAGACTGTTTAATTATATTATTTAAATTTCATGCGAAGAAATTAAGAAAATTATATTCAACCTGGTTCAACTTTCGGGTGTCAAAGTGTAATCGGAATACTTTAGCTGGAAACAGTGTCGGTTGACATCTGTCGGAGCGGCAACGTCGCAAAATGTCTGCATTACTGCATTTGATATGCGTCACCTGATAGGAATTGCGCAGCCGCACGTGCCAAGCGCCTTTAGATTTTTCATATGCAATATTTTAATTCCACATAATTGTTACATTAAAACAAAAAGGTTGAATTTCTTGAAGATATGAGAATTACTATGTTCTTAATTACATTTATCTATCGACTTTATTATTTATCGTCGTGAAGTTAAGTTTTTTAAAAATTGCAATAGAAAATTCTTTGTTGACTACTTAAAAGCAATAAGAATAATGATAACGTACATTTTAAAAACTTAAGTTGTATAAATTTATCTAAACTATATTAAAGCAATAATGATAAATACAATAAAACAATAGATCTATAGATACACATGATTAATGTAATCTAAAATACACAGATAACATCAAGATATTGTGTCGGCGCTTTTTGACGATCAATAGAGTTTGTATCTCAGTTTCAAGATGGATATTTGGCGATTGTTATTTTTTGTTCCTTTATTTTCTTATGCAGTTGCAAGAAGAAATGATTTATACGCAGGGTAAGTTGTATGTAATATACGCATTTTGTTGTTATAAAAATACAGTCGGACCTGGATAAGCAAGTAACCTTTATAAGCGAGAGTCATTGACCGGTCTCAAGGAGCTTCCATAAGGGAAAAATTTTGGTTGGAGAGAAACAACAAGCAAAAAATATCGCGGACCCTTAGACTCCCTTATCCAGCATCTTAATTAATTGTGGGATGTACAACTTAAACCTAAGGTTTCAAAATAATAGGTCCCATCTCTTCTTCTTGTTATTTTTTTTATATTACTTATCAAATCGTTGCGTATACACCAGCCGCCTCATACTATTGAAAAAAAAATTTACACTATTTTCCTCGACTAAAAGTTTTCTTTTTATTATTTTAAAATATCATCTTAAAGAACAATTATGCTTGTTTATGTGTACATGCAACTTTATTTACATTAAAGACTATAAGGTCTTTATTAAACCAGCTTACACAGGGTGAACTTAATTGCTTTTCGGCAGTCTGCACCTGTCGACCTGTAGCGTGAAGATAAATAATGGCAGGTGGTTAATTAAGGTAACCGAATATTAATTCGTGAACCTAGACAAACAAGTAAATCTCTCTAAACTATACCAATTTACAAATTAACCGATATAGACGAAGGAAACGCACGAACGGTATATTTAAGGAAAATAATAAAAGTTAAAAATTACGAGCATTTTAGCATCATAAAAAAGAAAGAAAAATATAAAACATTCTAAATTTAAAAATAAAATAATAATAAGTAAACAGTCTAAAGGTCCGTTTGTTTTGGCAAAACCGATGACAATATGATTCTCACATCTATCTTCTTATCTTTTCTTGCTTTCTTTCTTTCTTATCTTTTTTATCTTTGTCTTTAATATGTCAAAAAGTCTTCTGCGTACTCATATCTTTTGGGTGATTTACTAATACTAAATGTTGATACATGACCATGCTTTCTTCTTTCTTATTCTCGATCAATTTATCGCTCCTCAGTTTCTTTTTTCTCAGTTGACCATACTCGTGAGTTTTTGGATAATCGCTACATCACATGAAAGATACAATGAAGAGTAACACAAAGCTGTTTTGACGATATTATTTAAATCATTTGCAGATATACAGTCCACGGCGTGCATCTACAAGATCGATCTGATCTTTCCGTCCTTTATGACTTGGAGTTGAAACTTGGCTTGGACTTCTGGCAGCGTGGTGCTCCTGGGCAACGCGATGCACATATCATGGTATCACAAGAGAAGAGGAAAGAATTTTTGGATACACTGGACAGAAATGGAATAGAACATTACCTTCATTTTAGCAACGTTCAAAAGTAATTGATTTTCCTAATCCTCAATTTTCGAAGCCTCCTGTGAGGAAATTAATATATGTATATTATATCAATCTTAGGGGACCAGCGTGGTTGATTAAGTAAAACGTAATCATCCCTAATTTGAGCAGGATCGAACCCCTCTGTAGGTAAAGTATGACTAGAAACTTTTTTTAATTTTCAGTGTTCTCGACAAACATGACAAAGATGTGGAATTTTGGCGAAGCAGAAGAAATTCTAGAAGCTTCCCATTTGAAGATTATCTTCGATATACAGAGGTGGTTTTACTATATGATTTAATGCTACCAATTTGAAGTCATGATACTCAAATTAATATATATCTATATTACAGATAGACGCTTATCTAGATAGAATAGCAGCACAATATCCAGAAGTAGTCACCTTGGTTAACGCAGGTTTAAGTTATGAGGGGAGAAATGTTAAGTACCTTAAGGTAAGCTATAGTGATGAAGTTTGACCAATGATTATTAGTATTTTAGAAACTTAAAGCAATTTATAACATTACAGATTTCGACAACGAATTTCACAGACACAAGTAAACCCATATACTTCATGAACGCTATGATACATGCACGTGAATGGGTCACCACACCTGTAGCGATGTACTCTATCTATAGACTGGTCGAAGAAGTACGAAGTAATGAGCGTGATTTACTTGACAGCACAGATTGGATAATCATGCCGTTAGTCAATCCTGATGGCTATGAATACAGTCACACTGATGTAAGCAATTCTCAAGCAATAGTCGACTTTGATAATTTATGATCATCATTATCAGCTTACTATACGTCCCCACCAAGGGTCTTGAAGCCTACTATAAGTTAGGGGTGATTAGGCCATAATCAACCATGTTGGCCCATAGTGGATTGGTTGACTTCACACATATCTTTGACTTCCTTCTTAGATAGGCAGGTTGCATCACGATGTTTTTCTTTACCGTAAGAACATCGGATAAATATACATATGTAAATCGGAAATCGAAAAACACATTGGTATATGGCGGGATTCGAAGCTAGGACCTGCAGATTGCAAGTCAAGTGCTTAACTCCTGAGCCACCGACGCTTTTAATAATTTACAATGTAAGGTTATAGTATATAGTGATCTGTTTATTTTAAGGATCGCTTATGGCGTCGTACACGCTCCTACAATCCTGCAGTGAGTGAAACTTGCTACGGTGTTGATGGCAATCGCAATTTCAATGTATCATTTAACACCATCGGAGTATCGTCTGATCCTTGTTCCAATATTTACCCTGGAGTCAGTCCATTCTCTGAAGTAGAAATGGGCTACGTTCGTGACGTTCTTCATGAATACGTTGATCGTATGCAAGTGTACCTTGATATTCACAGTCAAGGGAATTACGTATTATTTGCGTATGGTGATGACACTCTACCACCAAATGCTGTAGAATTACACCATGTCGGTTCAGTTATGGGAGCAGCCATTGATGTTCAAAAATTGCCGGAAGCATTATATTATATTGTTGGTAACAGTGCTTTTCTAATGTACGGAACATCTGGCACAGCTCAAGATTATGGACAGGTAATCAATAATTTTATTTGTAACATACTAGCTGTCGCCGGCAACTCCGTCCACGCAAAATTAAACAAAAAGGAATAAGTAATCTATGTGTTCTTCCAGACTATGTTCTACATCTAGGCAAAATTTTAACGAGATCCGTTCAGCGGTTTTGGAGATACAGACATCCAAACATTCGCATTTATATTATTATATATTAGATATAGGCTCATTCTCGTAGACACGAGTCATGTAGTTTAAGAAAGTATTTTAATTAATCTGAGTTGGAATTTATCTTTATATCTTTACTTATCTATCTATTTTTTTCTAGCTTATTGGCGTTCCTTTCGCCTACACAATAGAACTACCGGGACACGGTTATGGGCACGTCGTTCCACCGCAATACATCGAACAGATGGTTGAAGAAACTTGGCAAGGAATCGTCGCCTCCGCTCGTGTGTCTGCAATATATTATCAAAATCGAAACTAATCAAACTTAATATTTATAATTAAAAATTAAAATATTGTTTTCTGTGTTTTTGTTTTTACTTATGTATATATATTACAAAAGGTAAAAGTTTGTAGGTTAAATAATTCGGCAAGGATTTTAGAGATTTGTCATGTCTGTTTTTACAGTGGTCTATGAATCCCTTAAACCAGCTCAGAAATTGCATTTTTAACACAATAAACGCGCATGGACATCAGCAATACCAGAGGAACCGCAGATGCGTTGGCGAAGAACGGTTGCTTCTTGCTGCAATTTGACATAGATGAAAAATACAGTCTGGAAGAACACATAGGCTATTAATTATGTATTCAAATTCCGTGCGGACGGTGTCGCGGGCGACAGCTATTTTTGTATAAAAGCCTGCTGATGTCAATTTGATTAAGACGGTGCCAAAATCGATAAGGTTAGGATTAGATAATAAAATTAAAATTAAATTACTCCGTCGTGTTATTTGACGAATGATGGATGTTCATAATATTATTTTCATAATTCTGTTTTCGCTTTTTGCTTCATCTGCAGCCAGCAAGAATGATGTGTATTTGGGGTAAGTTACCTTACTAATATAAATGCGAATATTTATATGGATGGATGTACGTTTAAATGTATCTGCAAACCGACTGAATGGATCTCGCTGAAATTTGGCTTAAATGTAGAACATGATCTAGAAGAACACATAAGCTACTTATTAAGTTTGTTTTTAATACCTCACGGACCACAGCTAGTATACTTTATTGTTATTAGCTAACTTGAGGTATATCTTTAGCTTCTTAGCTCCGTCACCTGTAAAACAGTGATGTTAGTTTTTAAATGTAAAGAAGTACAAGTAAATTATCAATGAAGATAATAATTAGGTTGCGATGTTATGTTTAATCTATTTAAAAACTGATTATAAAGATGTCTGGTACTGATATCTAGGATAATATGAGAAAAAATAGAATTAAATAAGGAAAATAACATAATAGATTATAAATGCGAATGGATGGGTAGAGGGATGGGTGGATGCCGCGGACGTGAGCGAAAGCGTGCCCGTGGTCCCATCCCGATGCGTTGGAGGAACAGAGGGGTTTAGTGGGTATGCCTCCGCTATGGAGGAGAATCCCACATAACTACCGCGTCCCCCCCGGGGCGCGGAGTATGCATAAAGCATTCCCCTCTGAAAAAAAAAAAAAGAGGGATGGGTGGATGAATGGATGTTTGAAGGCATGTCCAGAACGGTTGTAAGGATCTCGCTGAAATTTGACACAGATGTAGAACATAGTACAGAAGAACACATAGATTACTAAATCAGTTTTTTTATGACGGTCGGAGTCACGGGCGACAGCTAGTAATAAGTATATATTATAATGAGTGTCGGTAAAAAATTGTTTCTCATTTCTTATTTTCAGGGTTCCGTAACCCGAAAGGAAAAAAACGGAACCCTTATAGGGTCACTTTGTGGTGCGTCCGTCTGTCTGTCAAGATCCTTTTTATAATAGTATTTTCTTTATGATAACTAATGGATATTATCCAAAAAAAAAGAAACATATGTCTTAAGAAATTTTTACACGGTTTTTACAGATACACCGTTCACGGCGTTGAAATCAAAGATCGTGGTGATCAAGAAGTTCTACAACAGATGGTGATATCACTAGATGTTGATTTATGGCAATATGGCTTCCCTGGTGTACGTGATGCCATCGTAATGGTGTCATCGGAGAACAAAAAGGATTTCCTTAGACAATTAGACGAGAATAACATTTCTCATTATCTACATATAGAAGAAGTAACAAGGTAACAAGATGAATTGTCAGTCAGATGAGTTGTGCCTATTAATAGTCATCATCATCAGCTCACTATACGTCGCCAACGAGGAGCTCGGAGCCTACCCTAAGTTAAGGGTAATTAGGCCATAGTCAACCACGCTGGCAAAGTGTGGGTTGGTTGACTTCACACATATGTTTGAATTTCTTCTCAGATATGTGCAGGTTGCATCACGATGTTTTCCTTCATCGTAAGAACGTCGGATAAATGTTCATATGTAAATCGGAAATCGTAGAACACATTGGTATATGGCGGGATTCGAACCCAGAACCTGCAGATTGCAAGTCAAGTACTTTACCCCTGAGCTACCGACACTCTATTAATAGTATAGAGCCTTAAATTATTTTTAATCTGCTTTTAGCTTTTTAAATGAACAAGATATGGAAGTATCTCGTTGGAAAGCAAGCAGACGAAATGCTGTGCCATTTGAAGATTATCCACGTTACCACGAGGTATGCAGTTAAAACCAATTTTATATTTGGTTGATCAATTATATATATTATATCTTATCATGAAGTGTTAAAGTCTACAATTTAAAACACCAAATCAGATATATTTTAGATTGATGCCTATTTGGAACGAATTGCGTCACAATATCCAGATATTGTGACCATAGTTAATTCTGGACCTAGTTTCGAAGGACGCAGTATCAAATATTTAAAGGTAAGATTATAGAATATTGAAATGTAATTAACAATGGTAGAGCCCGCTTTAACATCTTCGCACGAGTTGGCTCGGCTCGCCCGGTGAAATACCACGACCACACAGAAGACAGGCTTGAAGTTAATTTAATCCTCTTTCCCTTCCCACCCTTTTTATTATAAGGGAAGGATGGGAAGTGGAAGTGGACTTTCCGGATGAGAGGATGCATGGAAAGGGAAGATATTTTCTTTCTGTGCATCCTCTCCTCCGTCGATTAATGGTAGGCAACGCATGTACAATTGCGTATGCATATGGGCAACGGTCACTTCGCTAGTTCAGCGATTTCAGGTGGCTGCTCGCCCGTTTGCCACATTAGGATATAAAAGAAAATCCAAAATCTCTTCATTATCGATGTAAACCAAGATTATTCCATGTTGCCTTCTAATTTATTTCCTCTTCCAGCTATTATAATTCGTCATATTTATTTCAGATCTCCACGACAAACTTTACAGATACCTCAAAGCCCATTTATTTCATGAACGCAATGCTGCACGCTCGTGAATGGGTCACCGCTCCTGTAGCACTGTATTCTATACACAGATTAGTTGAAAATATACGTTCCCAGGATCGGGATCTCTTAGACAATATTGATTGGATTATTATGCCATTGGTGAATGCTGATGGATATGAATACTCTCATATAGATGTAAGTATTAGGTCTTTTACCTTTAAATTATCTTGAAGTAGGGTTAATTTCTGCAGAACTTATACAGCAATTTGGATAACTAGTGATGTCCTTATCGAAGTATGGAGTAGACTTAATAATTATTAAAATTGTTCTTCCAGCGACGACTCTGGCGTCGAACGAGGTCATTCAACCCATCAGTCAACCTAACATGTTACGGAGTCGACGCTAACCGTAACTTCAACGTATCTCACAACACTATCGGTGTTTCTTCTGACCCATGCTCAGATGTATACCCAGGTCATGTACCATTCTCAGAAAGGGAAACTGGCTACGTCAGAGATATCCTTCACCAATATATTGATCGCATACAAATGTATTTAGATATCCATAGCCATGGTAACTACATACTTTATGGATACGGAGACACTTCACTGCCTCCTAATGTAATAGATTTGCATCATGTGGGAGCGATTATGGGAGCCGCGATAGATGTTATGAAGTTACCTCAAGCTGGATATTATTTGGTTGGAAACAGTGCTCTGGTACTGTACGGGTCATCTGGAAGTGCACAAGATTACGGACAAGTAAGTTTCACTAACGGTACAACAACTACAATATTGCCATCCCTCTCATTCTCTTTGGAGAAATAGAGATAGCAATAATGTTTTTGCGAATGTCAAAATATTTTATAATCAGTTTTGTTCCTGAAACTTCCAGAAATTATTTTAAATAAATTACTTATCTTTAATATTGTTTCAGCACGTTGGTGTCCCATTTTCCTACACTTTGGAGCTACCAGGCTATGGATACGCGTTCTCCGTACCTCCTCAATACATTGCGCAAATCAATGAAGAAACCTGGCTGGGAATAGCAGCATCTGCTAGAGTATCACTCCAGTATTACAGAGCGCGGTTGAATATTGTTAGTTGATGTACGATGATAGTGATTTGTAATAAATATTTGTACTAAAACATTTCTGTTTTTCTTATTTGAACATTTTTACTGTCGTATATCTTATAATACAAAAAACGAGAAAAAAACAATTATGTTACACAGAAGTAAACAGTAGCGTACAATTTTATTTATGATTAATAATTTCTAAGCTGATAAATTGACACTATCTCAAAGAACGAAGTTTTATAATCTATATCACTATTGATAACTACAGAGATGTAAAATATAGTTCACTTCAGTATTGTACTTGTAAGAATTGGAGCAAGATGGTGACCAAATTATCATTTATAGGTATAGTGCTACTCTTCAGTTTTACAACAGCTGGTAAAAATGACGTGTACAGGGGGTGAGTTTTATGGGTTTTTCCATCGCTTACTATCCATAACATGGATATCATGAGACATAAATGTTATGAAGTAGTATTGTAGTTTGATGATCAATTCAGTAGTTTATGAGTTTGTATCGATGACTTTTTTTTTTATTTTAAATAGTCTAATAGTTTAATAAATATACTTATATGAATATTAAAAACTAAGTGCATATCAAATAACTACAATTATTTCCTGTCCAGATAACATTGATACCACGATTACCTTATCGATTAACTTTAATATTAAATATATAACGAAAGTATGTTATATATTATTGAGAATATTATCATACATAACAAAAAAAAAACTAAACTCTATCCAGAGAGCATCATTCAAATTGAAGACTCACTCATACGTGATGGTGACGATGAAACGGATATAAAAACTCTCAAAACTAATTAACTTACGCAAATAATAAGTTTCTAAGACCAAAATCATTGTATAAAACATATTGTTATCTCTGTTTTGTCGAAGATAATGACAGGGACGACGATATTTTGATATCAAAAACCAACGGTGAATGAAATTCTTTTGATTCATTTAAGCATTTTAAATCTAATAAATAAATATTACACTTATTTCCAGTTTTACAGTTCATGGGATAAAACTTCGTGACCAAACAGATGTAAATATTCTTCGTGAACTTGTTTTAAATCTGGATTTGGACGTTTGGTCTCACGGTGCTGTGGGTTTACGTGATGCTGTCGTGATGGTTTCAAAGGAAAATGAAGCTAAGCTCCTTTATCATTTGGATTATAATGGAATAAATCATTACGTCCATTTAGCAGATGTTGTTAAGTATGTTATTACAGTTGAGTAGACTATCAAATTTCTCACCACATTTTCATATAGTTGGATTCCCCATGTCACAATTCTCCACTATGAGTCCTTGGTTTGACACAGAATGTATATGACATTTGATAAAGTAATGAGACTAGTCAGTTAACCCCTTGTCATAGTTCTTGAGAGTAATTTTCAATTAAAATTATAATTTTAGAGCTCTGGATGATCATGATGAAGCGATATCTAATTGGAAACGACGAAGAAGCGGTAAAATGGTTCCTTTTGAAGACTACCCTACTTATGAAGAGGTAAAACTTAATTTTATTTTATAATGAAACTATTTAAATCCTTTTTGAGGTTACTACAATGTATCATCATCAACCTGCTCTTATCCCTCAGGAGGTACTCCTCCATACAACTCTATCAGTCATATCTGAATCCAACCCTTTTTACGCATATCCACTTTCACACAATCCATCCATACTTTCTTTGGTTTTCCTCCACCTTTGTAGCCATTGTTTTTATGATACTAAAATTTACAAGAAAGTGAAATAGTTTTAAATATTATACTTATGAGTTATCAATATTATTCGATCTTGTAATCTGAATACTGACGGAAATTAAGTGTACGTATGTTATAGGTAAACGATTATATGGAAAGACTTGCAACTCAATATCCAAACATTGCGACTCTTGTGAACGCAGGACCAAGTTTTGAAGGACGCGATGTTAAATATTTAAAGGTTTGTTAATAATTTCTATGAAATAATTCACTACAATAATTTCCAGTTAATGTCTGATCTGCAAATCAGATCAATTGATTAAGACAAGCATCAAGTGGACGGAATATCGCATGTCCCCGATAAATGATGCAAAGGTTTTTGTTACTCTTCTCCTTCCCACCCTTTTCTTATAAGGAACGGATAGAAAGAGTATATGTTTTAGTGGAAGAGATTCCCTGATTCATGCGCTCTTTCCTCTATTCATTAAAAACGAAATTATTACAAATCCTTTTGTGTGATCGATTCAAAAAACTGCCTACGTTGCTCGTAAAATTACCAACTGGGTCTTGGTTCGAGGAGTAACATCGTATAGAAGACAGTCTTGAAGTTGTTTTTCTAATCTTTTTCAGATATCCACCACAAATTTTACGGATTCCAGTAAACCTATTTACTTCATGGACGCAACGATGCATTCCCGCGAATGGGTCACAACTCCAGTCACTCTGTACGCCATGCACAGACTGCTTGAGGACCTGAGGAACGATGAACGTGATTTACTGGAAACTGTTGACTGGATTATAATGCCGATAGTCAATCCTGATGGTTACGTGTTCAGTCATACTGATGTAAATATTGTTTTACTACAAAAAATACTGGCCGATTATGTTGCCTTTTATACATTAGATGAAGATAATTCCGTTCTTTCTTATTTTTTCTTTTGCTCATTTAAAGGCGCCTGTTGATGTAAGGAGACAGTTAATTCTATCTATATTACTATTTCGAATCTACACCACCACTACAAAATATCGAAAATCAAATAGGCACAAAATTTTACACCTTATAGCCAGTCCATAAATAGGTCATTGATTGATTGTCATTGTTTTTTTTTCAGCAACGTCTATGGCGACGAACACGGTCATACAGACCAGAAATCAGTACGACTTGCTACGGAGTGGACGCTAATCGAAACTTCAACATATCCTTCAACACTATCGGTGTTTCTTCTAACTCTTGCTCTGATATATACCCTGGTCCGGAACCATTCTCAGAAATAGAAGCGGTATACATCCGTAATATAGTCTATGAATATTTGGATCGTATACAGATATATTTAAATATCCATAGTTATGGTAATTTTATTCTCTTTGGGTATGATGATTTAACATTACCTCCCAATGCGGTGGAACTGCATTATGTTGGAGCAGTGATGGGTGCAGCCATAGATACTATCAAGTTGCCAATAGCTCCGCACTATTTGGTAGGAAACAGTGCGCACCTTTTGTATCCAGTGTCTGGAAGTGCACAAGATTATGTGCAGGTCAGTATTTTTAATTCTTCTTTGATTACAATTAACTATGTTGCAACAGTTTCAATCTCGTAATTTTAGGAAATATTTTGTACCCAAAGGTAAAAAAAAACATTGTAATGGACTCTATATAATCCTGTTTTGTGATAATTTAATATTTTGTTAAAAAAACTCTGTATAAAACGTTTTGGTCATCCCTGTTATTCATCTTTGACAAAACTGAGATGACAATATGTTTTAAACGGGAATTTTGGTGTCAATAACTCACGGTTAATAGATGTTTAATTGATTGGCGGCAAATTTATAGAGTCACTAGCTGTCGCCCGCGACTCCGTCAACGCGGGATTAAAAATAGATGTTGGCCGATTCTCAGACCTACTCAATATGCTCACAAAATTTCAAGAGAATCAGTCAAGCCGTTTCGGAGGAGTATGGGAACGATAATTGTGACACGAGAATTTTATATATAAGAAGGGAAAGTTACAATAGTTCGCATAGAGCTTAAAATTCCGGGCTTGAATCCGAAGTTAGCATCTTCCATATTGAATTTATCCGCAGAATCATTTAAAGTATTATTTTTCTCCAGAAACTTGCATAATACTTTTTTTTTTTGTTTTCAGTACGTGGGAGTTCCATACGCTTACACTTTGGAACTCCCAGAGTTCTTAAGATACGACTTCAGAGTACCACCTGAATACATAGAGCAGATCAATGCAGAGACTTGGAAGGGAATCGCAGCTTCAGCTCGTGCCAGTGCCTTGTTTTATACACGAAGATATACTCGTAATTCTGTTCAGTAACTTTGTGTAGTTCTTTCAAATATCTTGGCGGCTCAAGGTCATGTGCGCGCTGCGTATTGCCCTCCCCCCGCATCCCGATATCCACCGCTACACCTAAAATTATGTTCTGTGCATCGATTCAGAATTTAAAGCCGCTAAGATATATGAAAAGTACCATAATAGTGTTGCAGTAAGATATCGTAATGTTAATTAATCCGTGGAGTTCTTACTTTTAATTTTATATCAGTTTTAGCACTATGTTTTTTTTTTTTAATTTTGTAAGAAATATACTTTTACTTTTAGTAATTACTTTATTAACTTGACCTGTTTTAAACTTATATAAAAACGGCTAAACACTCGCAACGGGCCGCCCCAGACCAGTCCCACTCACCCTCAAGAAGGGCCCCCGATAGGCTCGAAACTACTCGGTGCCGCCGCCGGACGAATATACGTGAGTGTTTAGCCGTTTTTATTTTATATAAGTTTATTATAATGTCTTACGAAAATTTTAATAATTTAATTAATATGTTTTTTTTATATTTATATCTTTTTTTTTAGTTCAGTTTAGTCTTTAATTTATAATTGCTTAAATGTCGCATAACATTTTTAAGTTACTATATACATTTGTAACTTTACAGTAAACACGTAAATATTGTACAAAACATTGAATTCAATATATATAGAAATATTGGCAGAAATTTCGTTCCTAATCGGCAGCCAACAACATCGAAAATTACTTTACAAAGAAGTTGAAGAATTACAAGTGAAAGAAATTTCTCGACGTTTTTTTGCAAAACTTTGATCGCGAAAAAATTTCCTTTTTAATATTTTATAGCAAAAGTTTTGGTATAAAAAGTAATAATCTTTTATAAAAATAACGATCACAGATTGTTTAAATATAACTTAATGCAACTCTTTATAAAAATACTAGCTCCCGCCCGCAACACTGCACGAAATTAAAAAAATACTAATTAGTAGCCTAGTTCCTCCACGCTATGTTTTTTTTTTATGTCATAAGGTGGCAAACGAGCGACCGGTCACCTGAAATCGCTAAAGTAGAGAAGTGACCGTTGCCCATAGACATACGCAATTGCTTATGCGTTGCCTACCTTTCGGAGGAGAGGATGCACAGAAAGAAAATATTTTCCCTTCCCGTGCATCACCCTTCCTTATAAGAAAAAGGGTGAGAAGGGAAAGAGGACTAATTTTTTTTATCTACATCTGTGCCAAATTTTAGCAAGATCAATGGAGGACTTCTGGAGATACCTTCTAACAAACATCTATCCATCCAAACATTCCCATTTATTAAAAAAAAAAGTACAACACGAGGAAAGTACACGGCATTTTGCTGTTCATATATTTAATTATCAGATAGACCATATTATATGTACGTCAAAAAATAGAGCAAGCCTACATTCAAAATTGGAATATGAATCACAGATGCTAATCCAGTGGACGTGCCGCGCGGCCATTTTGAAGTGGAGCCGATTTCGATTGAAACGTGATTTAAATTAACTGTATTTCGTCATACGAAATTTGCAGTTGCATTATGTCTTATTTCATCATTTAATTTATAATAATATAATTTAAAATTTATAAGTTCGGAAAAATTTAATTTAATAATAATTTAAATTTTTCCGAATTAAAAAAACTTCTAAAATGCTTTTTAATAAAATTTATATAGATAATAATCGCCCTGCCCAATTTTTTAGAAGAGTCGGCATTATTACTTATTTGCTTTAAATTTTTATCAGGCGTTTAATTTAATTAAATTATATCTTAAGAGGTAAAATTATGTAAATAAAAACTTTATTAATTTATCCCGCACAATCTGTTCTACAAAAATAACTTTCAAAGATCTGTTCTATTAACACGGGTAAAGGTAAAAGTTGCTCATAACATAATACCCAAAGGTTGGTAATTTAGGAAAATACGGCAATCGACTCCGTCCGAAATACCGTTTATGTGGCGTAGGTAACGCGTCGGTAACGCGTTGGCAAATTGGATTATACCTGCGTTAGTTGAACGTTTACGGTACTCATGGCTCGTTTGTTGCAAGCTGATAATTTACCCGGCACTTTGTACAACGTGTTGCGTTATATCTTAATTTTGCGCAAAAACTACGATGTAAAGAAATCGAAATATTACGAAGATAATTATGTTCTGTGTGGGAAAATTATTTGAAATGGTATATAATTATTTTTGCATTATTAAAGAGGAATTGGATTTTGTTAGAAGGACATAGACAGAATGACCACTTGATTAGTGAAGTAACAAAGAATAGTATGCAGTAAATGTATGGAGCTATATATTTTTTTTATAACAGAAGGGGGCAAACGAGCAGCGGGAACACCGAGGTGTTCAACGACGCGCATGGACATCAGCAATACCTGAGGAACCTTTTAGGTGGTGATAAGCTCGCTTCTTAAAGGACCCTAAGTCGTAGAGGTTTGGAAATATATTCATAGTAGTACCAAAAATGGAGTTTATTTTATCTTCTTCAATGAGTTACGAGTTACAAAAAATATTTATATTTCTCCAAACATCCAATTAAGTCCAATAAAGGTTTTTTTTCTGAATTCATAGAAATGTAATAGTGACTTTCGGTAATAACTTATCTCCTACAATGAAGATAGAAATATGTCAAGTCGCGGCAAGATGAATCGATTTGGAGCCAGATAAAGTTTTAATGAGTTTCAGCAAAACATTTTTCCAACTCGTAAACAAACTCGCGACCAAAGCAAAGGGAAACGTCTTCGATTACTTTTGATGGATTCCTTGACCTACGATTTTACTATGTCTAAGAAAGTTCTTTTATTTTTTTTAACAAGCAACAGGAACACCGAGGTGTTCAACGATGCCCATGGATATCAGCAATACCAGAGGATCCGCAGATGCGTTGTTATTTTTTTAGATCCTAGCTGTCCGGGGCTCCGTCCGAGGATATTAAAAAAGGGTCTTAACAGACAGACGGACGGAAAACAAAGTGATTCTATAAGGGTTCCGTTTTTTTCCTTACGATGTACGTAACCCTAAAAACAACTTAATCTGTAGCCTATGTGTTCTTCCAGACTATGTTCTACATTTGCGTCAAAATTCATCGATATATCGACATATACAGCCGTTCTCGAGATTTTTCAAACAAACATCCATCCATCCAAACATTCGCATCTATAATATTAGTATTATAAGAATGTCAAATGATGGTATGCTTTAGTACAGTGAAAGATGATAATTAATTACATTAATTTGGATATTAATCTTTGTTAGTTATAAAATTGTGGGTAGGAAATATACGTCCGCAGCTACAACAGGAAAAATTGTCAATCCAGTGAACACAAATCACAACTGCCAATTATTGCAGAACTGTCTAAAAGCGAGTTTATGATCGACTGCTCTACACAAGCTCGAATAAATCAAACTATACTCTAATATGCAGTTTTATTTCTATCGACATGCAAATAAATCCTATAAATCTTACCTTAATAACAATAAATGGAGATAAAAGTCTCGCTAAATAGGTATATATTTTAATATACTTTGGTATAATAAGTAAACTCATTCTTAGAACAAAGCTAAAAACCTACGTTTAAAAAGGTTATGTTAATCATACTGGCAGATGATATTGTCGGAAAGCCATAAACATGCTTTATAAGCAAATTACTTATGCCCGTTACTCGATTCGCACGGAATTAAAAAACATAATAAATAGCCTATGTTTTCTTCCAGACTATGTTATCTCTTCTATAAATTTCATAGATATCCATTGAGCCCTTCTAGAGATACCTTCTTATAAACAACTATCCATTCATCAATCTAAACATTCGCATTTATTAAATTATTCAAACTTTCGTGAGACATTATACTAAACGGATATATAAACACGGACGCGGCCCGTCGCTCACCTTCAACAACAACACCACCGACGCTTTGGTATCAACATCGTCGACGACGCCGGCGCAACCCGCGCCCCCCGCCCCCTCAAGACGCGCCCTAAGAGCGCAGGCGCGCATTGAGCGACGGGCCGCGTCCGCGAAATAATACCAGTACCACTCATCCAAATGAAGGGCCCCCGATGGGCTCGAAACTAGTCGGTGCCGCCACCGGACGTATATACGTGAGTGTTTAGCCGTGTTTATATATCAGATTCGCATTTATAATATTAGTAAGTAATGTTAGGAAGAAAATCAGAAAATGTGACAGTGTATTGACCCAACCTAGCCTTACTAAAATGTCGATGTTTGTGTCCCCTCACTATTCATTCTGTCACTGGACTTTGTAACGAAAGCACGTCATTCGCACCAAAGGATTATAATACTGTCTAAAAGTAAGTAGTAAAAAAAAGACTGTGTTTTATTACGGTTTATTTGGCTACTCCTACAACTTTCTATTATAAAGAAAAGAATGAAAGTATAGGTCTGTAAAATTATTGTATTTGCTTGCATGAATCAACACAAATAATGTAAATATTTCGACCGCTTGTATACAATTTGGGTATTTGTTATTATAATTCTACCGATGAAAATATCAAAATATAAAAACCCCTACAGGAATCAAAATAGAGTCGATGTTATTTTTCATGTCGAATTCACACGATGTCCGACCATTTTGTTTTTCATTCATCTATTTGATTTATGCCGTTCTCGTTTATTTAGTGATATTCGTAAACGATATTTGAACAGTTTGTGGAATACAGTTTTCAACAATAACCATGTAAACTGACATGTTATTTTATTGTTTAAAAATATACTAAAAAAAAACCGTTGGTTTCTGAGACCTAGTATAACACAACTCAGGCCTGTAACCTAAAGGTGTAGACAGAAACCACGGAACTTGATTTGACGTGGCCAAATAAACCTCCGCAACTCACTTTCGGGAGACGGAACGTGACTGTCTCGCCGCCTTTTACTCCCGGGAATTCACAGATATCTTTGAAATTTCTTTTCCAATATGTGTAGGTTTCACGATGTTTTACTAAATCTTTTCAATTTGTATAGAATAAATCGCCATCCCTATCATTATCTTTGGCAAAAAGAAATTTAAAAATGGGATTTTGGTCTCAGAATCTCATGGTAGAGACTGTAAAAAGAAAGAGATTAATAAAACATACAATAAAATCGCATTATGCGTTATGTTTTTTCTAATGCTTACTTTCCAAGCATAACTTTTTTTAAATACAATTATGTATAAATATTATGTACAATTATATATATTATAATGTTGGTTGTCCATTTATTAAAAATCTTCTTAAACAACGCATAACTTTGGTCAAGTTAATATTCATTTGAGAATCCATCGTTTACATTTCATCAGTTTTATTCAGTTAGAAATATATTTTCCTAAAAGGTCAAGCACATTTCCGGACCTAAGTTGCGGCAGCACCAGTGAAAACGGTACATAAATTGCTCATAGCAATCACTAGTTGTCAGACGCGCTAGTGGAAACGGGGTCTAATCTGCGACAGCTCGGTTTACTGCGAGCTCGATAGCTAGATATTAATCAATCAGTGGCTGGCATAGCGCCAGAAACACTCGATTCAGAAATATTCCGAGTACTGGTTAAAAGATGCCGCTCGCTTTAATTGCCAATTAAATTTTAAAAATTGTGTTTTAACTTATATTTCTATGATATTCAGATCATCTTCTATTACATTTTTAGTATCATGATGTGTGACAACTCATAGGATTACTACTTAGGTCAGTCGTTCTCTTTGATAAGGCTCTGACCCAGCGAACAAAAACAATCAGAACCCAACTCTTGGCTGTCTTAAAAGGCTGTCAGCCTATTGGGTTATCTGACTTTAGGGTTCACCCAATACTCGCTCTCATCATCTTACTAATATAATAAATGCGAAAGTTTATATGAATAGATGGATGTATGAATGGATGGGTCTTTGTTAGAAGGTATCTACAGAACGCCTCAATGTATCTTGATAAAATTAGGCGTAGTAGAACATAGTCTGGACGAACATGTAGTTTATTTCTTAAGTTTGTTTTAATTTAGCGCGGACAGCGTCGCGGGCAGCTCCTATTTAAACTCCTATTCTAGTTCAAAAACGTAACGCTCTAGTTGACTTCTAACCAAGTACTTATCTTTGTTCCGTATAATTTTTTCTTCAACATTTTCATTTATTTCAATTTAATTAATGATATTTCTATACATAGAATCATTACGATGTTTTAATCTCAGCGAATCTGTAATGCGTACAAATGAGGTTCGTTAGTTCAACAAAGGAGACTTAACGGTCACTTAGCAAAGGTTGTCTACAAAATCCCGATCTTCTAATCACAACGATCATTTAAACAAGTATCACGTATCACATTCCCTAGAGAATGTTGCTATGATATTTATGTTAAAACGAAATAACGTCATTTAAACATCCATTTGTCTATTAGTTTCTTAATTGTTTTACTAATATTATAAATGCAAATCTTTGGATGGATGGGTGATTATTAGAAGGTATCTCTTGAACGCCTCAACGAATCTTGATATAATTTGGCATGTAGGACATAGTCTGGAAGAACACATAGGCTACTTATTATTTATTTAATTGGTCGCGGACGGAGTCTCGGGCGAAAGTTTGGTATAGCATCGCCATTGGTTGTTCGATATTTAAAAAAATCATATTAAGACCTCTTCATAGCTTGCATAAAAGATATTGCTATCATATTCACATTAAAATTCATAATAAAATAATACTAAATATAATAAATATATGTACCCTTACGCTAAAGTATTTATTATAAAGGTGCTGAGAATAGCTAGTTGTCAAAACAATTGGCAAACATTGTTGGCACAAATACGCCAATATTGGCAACACGCAATTTACCGGTCGATCGGCGTCGGTGTCTACATCACTTGTACACTGAGACCACACAATTACGGTTCACTTCAACGGTAAATTGAGCTTTTAACACCAACCTTTCATACCTTTACGCTTTACCAATTTGGATTGGGTTTTAAGTCATTAAAATACGGCATAATCACGACATCGTTTTGACTGTTATAAATTTAATGAGTACACATATTATCTCCACTTTTATCTAAATTGCGGTACGATTTTTAACATTACAATTGCTTATAGACATCTCTAGTTGCTGATGCGTTGCCTAACTATAATTGTTGGAGGAGGGGACACACAGAAAGACGATATTTTCCCTTCCTATGCATCTCCTACTTCGCCAAACTTAACATATCAACCGTTTCCTTATAAGAATAATTAGTCCTCTAGCACACACGCTCATCAGACGACACGCGGAATTGTTTCCACTTCACGCCTGTCTTAGTGGTCGTGGTATTGCACTGGACGAACCAGTAATTTCGTGCACCCATTCCATGTTTCTGTTGCGGGCTCTACCAATACATGATATATTCTATTGTGACCGTCTGTAACCTAGCCTACTCATTTTGGCTAGTGAGGTGTCATGCGATTTCATTTCTTGTTCGAAGTGTGTGTGTGTAGTCAGTCAGTTTTTTAGTTACTAAATCAAACAATAGTGTTTTTAGCTATTTAATTATTTATATTCTGTAGACACGACATTGTTGCACTCTGTCCGAATAATTAACCTCTTCGCCTTTCGACTAAAAGCTTTCCACGTATTGCGAAGTAACTTTGTAAATCAATTACTCGATATAAAGGACAGTGTAGAAGTATTGCATCCAACTCTACATTCTATTTTTAAATAGCTTTTCCCTTGTTTTGGATATATTGTAAATTACTGATTTTTTTATTTGAGTCCGGCCACTTAGAATTATAAGTATAGTAAAAAAAAGTTAATAGCTGTCAACCTCAACTCCGTCCTTACGAAATTAAAAAAAAAAACTTAGTAGCCTATCTGTTCTTCCAGACTGTGTTTTATCTGTGTCAAATTACAGGGACATCCATGTAGCCGTTCTGGAGATACATTCTAACAAACTTTTATCCATCCATTTAAATATTTGTATTTATAATATTGGTAAACTTTACACAATTCGCTATACATTTGTTTCGACTTGTAATAAAGGTTTAGTCGTTAATTAATAAACAGATAAAAATAAACTGAAACAGAATCACTTCGAGATACTCCGATTCAATAAGCCTTTTGTATACTGCAATGAGACTGGATAAATAAGAAGTATGTATTCAATTTACTCATCATCAGCTCACTATACGTCCCCACCGAGGGGCTCGGAGCCTACCCTCAGTTAAGAGTGATTAGGCCATAGTCAACCACGCTGGCCAAGTGCGGGTTGGCTTCACACATATCTTTGAATTTCTTCTCAGATATGTGCAGGTTGCATCACGATGTTTTTTGTTCACCGTAAGAACGTCGGATAAATGTACATATGTAAATAGGAAATCGAAAAACACATTGGTACATGGCGGGATTCGAACCCAGGACCTGCAGATTGCAAGTCAAGTAAACCCCTGAGCCACCGACTCTCTACTCATTCAATTAACTGATTAAAATTACAAATGACTTAAATTCAAGTAAATATAGTTAGCATCAGTGTGGAAACACCTTTATAAGGGTATTTCAAGTTACAACTTAGAATTACTTTGTTCACAATACACGGTTGACTTATGTTGCACTGTTTTTACGCTTGTTCATAAAATGTTTTTCATCCCCAACTTTTTAATTAAAACTTTTAATTAGAGGACTAGGTTATTTCTTGACAATTTGTTGCAGTTATGAATTTTTGCTTTAAACAAGCTGCTTTACGTAGATAAGACTCTTTTTTTTACAGGAAAATAAATGGGTTATTAATTTTACATTCTTAAGCAATAACAAGAATTGAAAGAGGTTGAAAGAGGCTCACTACTTAACAACCTTAAGTCGTAGCGATATGGATATACCGTCAAGAACCCACCTCCTTATAATCAGTCTACCCCGTAGTGTCGAAAACTGTACAAACTTATAATGACTTACTTGACATAAAGTCCTATCTCCCCATAGTGGGGCAGAGGATGTCCAGAATACGCCAACTCGCTCTATCTTGGCCTCTTATATAATTTATTATAGTAAATAATAATTGGATGCGATAATTTTTTCCGTTATTTTAAAGCCTTAAAAATATACGGAAGAATGTAGAATCTCCTCTTTTGAAGTCGATTAAAAATTATCTTTTAGTATAACCTTGTTGCGTGAATTTCATATATTTTCCTTGTTTTGTTAACAGCGTAAGGGAAGCAAATTACATTTACATGGAAAATTTTCAAAGGACTTCATTTATAAAGACACTTTATATCAAAAGAGACCAATTTAGATTGGGCGTGTAATAAGGTTTAATATATAATTAAACCAATTTACGAAATCCAATTAAAATATAAATAACTGTCACCTGCGACACTGTCCGTGCGGAATTAAAAAAAAAAACTCAGTAAACGTCGAATTTCAGCGCGTCTGTATAGATACAGCCGTTCTGGACCTTCAAACTTCCATCCATTAATCCATGCATCTATCCATCCAAACATTCGCATTTGTATTAGTAAGATTATTATTTTAATGAGAAACATACGACCCTTTTGAATTATAAATATGTTTTAGTTAAAAATATTATTCTAATCCATTTGATTTAGAAGAAGAAATCTGAATATTATTTTGAGAAACAGAAATATTTTTAATTTTTTAAAAATTCTATGTCAAAACTAAAATCTCTAATGAATATTTATTACTTCTGAAAAATGATCTTAAAGGTACTCTTTTAACATTTGAAGGACGTCGTAAATTATCTTTTTTAATACAAAGAAATTGAATTATTATACCGCTGCCTTAAAACTTAAAGAAAAAAATATGTCTTTTTTATAATTAGTTTGCAAACGAGCTAAGGCCACCAGAATACGTAGAAATAGCAAAGTGACCCATATACTTACTAATGTTATGTAGCATCTTACTAATATTAAAATATAAATGCGAATATTTGGATCGATGATTAGACGAAACGGCTCAAAGGACTTCGCTGAATTTCGCCATAGATGTAGAACATAGTCTGAAGGAACACATAGGCTACTAATCAAGTTTTTTTAATTAAGCGACCTCCTTTGAGCGGAGTGTTCCTTCAGACTATGTTCACTTAAGTTCACTTCAGTCGCGGGTGACAATTCTTCTTCTTCATCGTCGTTACAGTCTTGTCAGACTGGTCGTGGTCATCAAGTATCAGTCACCCGCTTTACCAGGCGCCGCCACTCCTCCCTAGTCGACAATTAGTTTGTCATAAAAAGAAGGGGCTAATATTGAACATCATCTTATCATTTTAATCCTCATTAGAAACAAATGAAAGATGCTAATTAACGTTATTAAAACGTTATATAAGGGTGTAAATTTCAATGCATCATGATTTATGTTTTAAAATGTTGCGAGGAAATTTCCGAGGCGTGATAAGCTGTTGCATTTGTCTTGGCGACGAGCACGAGGCGACGGGCGACGACTGGAGGCGAGACGATGCGACGGCGCTCGGCAGCTGGAGCCGGGGATAGTATAAATTGCTTTGTTCCTTTATTGTTTATTTTTGGAAATAGCTACAGACTTGTCGAGAATAGCGCTATCTATTAATTGTTTATTTATTTTTTAAGGAAATAAATACTTATTATAACTCTTTATATGGTTTATTTGTCAATCTGTTACTGGGTCGTTCATTTCGTATTTACAGCGGGGGTGAATCTATCCCAGGTCGTAATTTCTTGGAAGAGCGCGTCTCCCGGGCATTCCGTACTCCTAACTTGTCGGTGTCCGATCAGCGAATATTCCTTACTTATGTAGCCGAGTTCCACTCCGACTTCTATTAATTCTTTTGTTAGTTCCATTTGGTGCGCTGGTGGTAGTTGAACTGAAAGAAATTATGAGAAAAAATAATAAACATCAAGTTTATATTACAAATATACAATCTTTGATAATTCTGTCTAAACTCACTCTTTAAATCCATTTATAAATTCAAAAGTCCATCGAAATGTCTTGAAAATGATGACATTTCTTGACAAAATTAATTTAAAACGAAGTCCCTGTCCGTGTCCATTTCTATCGTGGAATGAAGATGTTCTTTGTGTCAACAGCGAACCTTGTTACTTTTATAGTGATCTTAGAAAGCTATTGAATCCAAACTTAGTTGAAACATCAACCAACGGAGGCGCACAGGTTAACTGATTTAAGGAATCATTGTTCAGTCCGACAAAAAGAGTATAAGATATGTGTATCTATCTTCCTGGATGAGCTGATATGTCGTAGTCAAACATAATAGTATATCGTAGTGATGTCAACAACTCAATGTGCATACTCACAGACGAAATCTCCAATGAGAACTATGCCAATGCTGACAGAGTTATAGCCCGCCGCATGCGCCCCCACTGCTTTCCAGCCGCGACCTTCGTAAATGGAGCCGTCACCCCCCACTGCGAAACTGTAATTATTTAACATCTATTCATGTCTGACATTAACGTATCTGATAGTTTATAATAAATATATTAATATATAAAAATTGTTAGCAATTAAACGTCCGCATCGTCCTAACTTTACCCTACTCTATGTATGGTCGTTGCTTGGATTTTATCCTCCAGAGGGACTCCGAATGTTTGTGACACGCGCCTTCGTAACGTCCTCAACGAAATATGTCACAATCTCTATATCTGTTGGTGTACTTTACGCGCAGTACTGCTGTACAAATTTTGTCGATTATGTTACGGAAATTCGTGCTAGGTCCTCATTGACCTATCGTTCGTCATTTCTTAAACATATCACCAGTAAGTACTTGTATCCGATGTCAGCCCATCCTTGCGTTCCTTGGTGATAATTCTGTATTGACCGCATGGCACTCGAACACTCCAGCAGCGAATAACACGCTCCTGGCTCGTACGTGTGGTGGATAATCACGTACGGCACTGGGAGGGTTAAGTTGGTGATAGAAGTAGGTGACTGCGCGCCCCACTCATCTCTTGATACTATTGGTATAGTTTTCGTTTTGGATACTGAAAAGAATGTTTTAAGAAAGTTAATAAAACAACATTAGTCCTAGAATCAATGAATGTGTTGGTAATAAATATTACCATCAAATTGCTAAATAAGAAAAGAAAAATATTGCTTTTTCTTTACGGAATATTGTAGCTTTTTGAAATATATTTCAAAGCTATGTTGTTAAATAAGAAAGAGGTCTTGTTTTCTTTGAGATGGTATTTAATGCGTTTAAAATAGTACTTAGTACTGTGAAAGTTAACCAACAAGGAGTGATGTTTCAGATATTAAATTATTCAAACTTTCATGAGACATTAAAATAAACTTATATAAAAACGGCTAAAGACTCACGTATATTCGTCGCTCACTGTAAACGACGGGCCGCGTCCGCGAAATAATACTAGTCCCACTCACCCTGATGATGGGCTCGAAACTAGTCGGTGCCGCCACCGGACGAATATACGTGAGTGTTTAACAGTTTTTATATCGGTTTATGTTTCAGATAAATTTAAATTGACGGCTTCTCGCAATAATTAGATTATTAGAAGCCTATGTATTCTTCAGACTATGGTCTACATCAATGCCAATTGCGGGCTGCAATCTGAAGATACGTTCTAATAAACACGTGCATTAAATGAAATAAGAAAATATGAATATTAAAGAAGAGAAAGAAAAAAACAAATTTTAAATTAAAATCCTTTAAGTTACGTTTGTATATAATAAAAATTATTTAACTAACCACATTGATTCTTAACTCCACGACTAGGGTAGCCGTTAACGTATATAACTAGAACCAAAAACAGTGCTAACTCCTTGACCGCCATTCTTACAGTCACGCACATTTCAATTAACCTTGATTAAATATATATTATGATAACCACGAAAATATCTTAGTATGTTTGTTACATGCTGCACAAATCTTTATATATATAATTATTCTGTGCGTGTGTATGTCACTGAACTTCTCTCAAACGACTGGACCGATTTTGATGAAATTTTTTGTGTGTGTTCAAGGGGATCTGGTAATGGTTTAGATTCACAATTTTCATCAAATATTAACTTCATATTAATTTATTCAAATTAAAGACGTGTAGACAGGACAACGTCTGTCTGGTCCGCTAGTCTATATATATAAAAGAAAGTCGTGTTAGTTACACTGTTGAATCAAGAACAGCTTTACCGATATGGATGAAAATTGGTGAGGAGCTTAGAGACAGGAGACGGACATAGACTATTTATTCTTTTTTTTTCGAATTAATGCCTTGAAGAGTTGCTTTTTATTTGACTTACTAATATTATAAATGCGAATGTTTACATGGATGTGATGTGGATGGATGTTTAAAGATATCTCTAGAATGGCTGAACCGATCTCGATTAAATTTGGCATAGTCTATAATAATTAAGTTTTTTATATATCCACGCGGACGGAGTCGCGGGCGGCAGCTAGTTTTTAATAAATTTTGTAATTAAGGAAAGTTCGCAGTAATTTTGAGGCAATGGTAGTTTTTGTGTAAAACGAACTATACCCAAAAATTTTACTTTTTTAATTTTAAAAGTGTACTTTGGTATGGAAAATTGTTTATAAATTTCAAATATACTGTTCTATATAACAGATTATGTATTTTTTCAGACTATATTCTTCATTTGTGCCATATCATCACGACAGGTTGATGGAGATACCTTTTAAAAAGCATCAATCCATCCATCCATCCATCCAAACATTTGCATTGATAATATTAATAAGATGTAAATAACTTAAAAATGATTCAAGTTACCTATACACAACTTTCAGACTTAACAAAACTATACAAAATACAGGCGAATACGCGTGAAAAAGCAAGTGAATTACAATATCGATTAAATCATATCTTACGATAAGGTAAATGAAACTACCGCGTAGATAAAATCAGCTGTTAATATTGTTATAAATTTAAGATAGATTACTATCAAGTCAGATGGATTGATTATCGAATAGTCGCGGCTTCTTAATAAACTATTAATTACAATGCACTTCAATATTTAACCCATTAGTGCATAAAGTTTATTAACGCCTTTTTCATTATGATCACTGTAATATATTTTCATTTCGAGTTTATTTGTCCATTAAATTGTATAAAATATTTAATCAATATGAAAGTTTAGATTTTATAGCCCGTCCGATAAATCGCTTCCCGAAATGTCATACAAACAGTATTACCACTTCAAATATATATTACACGGTTAGTATATTACAAACCGTTTATTTTTTTATACTAACGGTCCCGACAGACGTTGTCCTGTCTACACGTCTTTAATTTGAATAAATTAATATGAAGTTAATATTTGATGAAAATTGTGAATCTAAACCATTCCCAGATCCCCTTGAACACACACAAAAAATTTCATCAAAATCGGTCCAGTCGTTTGAGAGAAGTTCAGTGACATACACACTCACAGAAGAATGATATATATATAAAGATATATAACTCCTAAAATAACAATTTTATTGGCGTCCGATTTATCGAACGTTATGCACTAATGGGTTAACCTTGATCTTGCGTAATGTGAGAGTTACTTTATGATTTGGATTAGTAAGATAAAATAAAAAAAACCTTCATTTCTGTTTTTCAACACAATAGTGTTAGTACAAAAACAATTTCTATGACTTTTAAAATAAAACTAGCTGTCGCCCTCGACTCCGATATATAAAAAAAACTTAATTAGTGTAGCCCACCCATCCATTCACATCACATCTATCTATATATTCGCATTTATAATATTATTAAGAAAAAAAAAATAAAACAAAAAAGAATAAATAGTAACCTATGTCCGTCCCCATGCTCTAAGCTAACTCCTCGCCAACTTTCAGCCATATCGGTAAAGCCGTTCTTGAGTTATAAATAGTGAAACTAACACGACAATCTTATATATACAGGGTGTCCCAAAAGGTGACGTACATAGGAAGGAGGATGATAGGGGTGGTCACAAAAAAATAAAGGGCATTTTTTAAAAACTGAAAAGTTTTACACCTTCTGGGGCAATTTTGTAACCAATGACCTACAAATATTGCTACATTAAAAAAAAAGCTATTATGTTATCGTCAATAACCCTTTATGAATATGAAATAAAAAAAAACAATACAACTAACAAAGATTTTAAAGAAAATTAAAATTGCCTCAGAAGGTGTAAAATTTTTAAGTTTTTAAAAAATGCCATTTATTTTTTTTAATACCCAGAGGGGAATTTTTATTTTATTTTTCTGGTGGCCCTTGTGACCACCCCTATCATCCCCCTTCCTATGTACGTAATCTTTTGGGACACCCTGTATATAGATGAAATAAAATATTTTTTTTTGTTAGAATAAGCAAAAGTTCATAGCTTTATGGACATGTACGAAAAGATTTTGGTATCAGAAACCCACGATAAGTACGCAATATAAATACGATATACAATATTGCATACAAAAATGTTGTCTACGTAACACGGGCTGGGCTAGCTCTCGAGTTTTCGTGAGAATTCCTGACAACCATTTATCAAGCTCCCGCGAATACGAAATTTCCTTGCAATAAATTTTCATATTACAAGAACAAACCTAGTTTTCATTGTAGATAAAACTCACAGAAATACGCTACGTATTTTATAATTTATGTAACTTTAAATTTTTAAACATATTTTGGTACTATTCTTTAGTAAAAAAATGTTCACTTTCAAACGACAGGAATATAAAAAAAAATCTTTTAATATTAAAACAAAAGGAAACATAACATTGTTTTTGTATTACATGTGTTTCGGTAGTAAAAGTTTACGAATGCAATTAACTGTCGCTCACAACTCCCTCCGCGCGGAATTAAAAACCTAATAGCCTATATGTTCTCCCAATTATTTTCTACATCTATGGCTTTCAATGAGATCCATGCAGCCGTTCTGGAGATACCTTCTAACAAACATCGCTGAAATAGCGAAGTGACCGTTACCCATAGACATACGCAATTGCATATACGTTGCCTACCTTTAATCGACGGAGGAGGGGATGCACAGAAACAAAATATTTTTCCTTCCCATGCATCCTCTCATCCGGAAAATCCACTTTCACTTCTCATTCTTTCCTTATAAGAAAAAGGTTGGGAAGGGAAAGAGGACTAAATTAGGCCTCCAGGACGCACACTCATCAGACAAAACGCGGAATTGCTTCCACTTGACGCCTGTCTTCTGTGTGGTCGTGGTATTTCACCGGGCGAGCCGGGACAATTCGTGCGAAGATTTTAAAGCGGGCTCTACCACTGTTAAAGTTTAAATTTTAAAATTAGTAAGATATATATAAATATCTTAAAATAGTACATGTAATTAAACGATATCTACGTAACGGAATTGAGTTATGTGGTAAAAAAATGACAAAAAAAAAAATTGTATCCAATGACCAGTACTGCTACTGACTCGCTCAATGTTATATCAACGAACCGCTTAATTGAAAACTTTAATGGAAAACCTACTCTGCTCGCGACAGATTGAAAATAGAAAAGTGCAAAGTGACAGAAAAAATATAGATATAGTTTGTAAATTAATTAATCTATAATAATATTATAAAGCGGAACAGTTTGTTTGTTTAAACGCGCTAATCTCTTGATCTACTGGTCCGATTTGAAAAATTCTTTTTTTGTTTGATAGTCCATTTATAGAGGAAGGCTTTAGACTATATAAAATTACGCTGCGACCAATAGTTTGTTTTTTTTTAATTCCGCGTAGACGTAGTCGCGGGCGACAGCTAGTAAAATATATAAAGCCGTGACTTTTGTGTAACAACTTGTATACAGCTGTCGCGATTTGTTCAAATAGAGTGAGTGAGGTAAAATATAATATGTATTTTGTTCATTTGTTTTGGCTATTTAAATGCAAGCACTGGTAAATAGAAGCGATGGCTCTGGGGTTAAGCATTTGACTCGCAACCTACAAGTCCTGGGTTGGAATCCCGTCATGTACCAATGTGTATTTCGATTTCCGATTTACATATGTACATTTATCCGACCTTCTTACGGTGAAGGAAATCATCGTGATGCAACCTGCACATATCTAGGAAGAAATTCAAAGATATGTGTGAAGTCAACCAACCCGCATTAAGCCAGCGTTGTTGACTATGGCCTAGTCACCCCTAACTTAGGGTAGGCTCCGAGCTTCTCAGTGGACACGTATGTCGTGAGCTGATGATAATGATCATTGGTTAATATAATTTTTCAGTACCTTTTTTTCGTACTTTGACTTTTAATTGGCCTGGACTTAAACCTTTTTGGCGCGTGCTTTCCCCTTTAACGGTTTATGTAAGTGTAAAAATTGTCCATTTTCTAGAGTCAAAGTTGTTTTACTCGCCAGAAATATTTGAGTATGGCTCCAATATTAACTTGCTTTAATATATGCTTCCAATTTATTAGATAATTCTTAGGTAAGAAGTTTTCTAAAGATGTCATAAATTATTATAGAATTACAGTTATCTCTTTCGTCAAAAATGTTATCATTGTAATTCTTTGACGAAATATGATAAGAAAAAATCCCCGCCACTTGTATCTTAGTTAGCAGGCAATTAACATAAAAATATTAACAGGATTATGTGTTGAATATACAAAATGATATAAAACGCTGGCTTTTTGTTAGGAAGAAAACCCGACCGTGTACCGGCGCAACACTATTGAAATGTCGACGTTCATGTCCCCTCACTAATCATTCTGACACTTGATTTGCTAACGAAAGCACGCAATTCGCGCCAAAGGTTTCTAACTAATATTGTCATAAAATTTAAAATATTTGGTATGTCCACATTTGGAATACGATGCATGCAAGTTACTTAGGGATAGTTATTTATTCATCAAG